CTGAAACACCAGAACGCCATGGCCCCGATCGTCTCCTCCACAATGTCTCCGAAATCGGTCCCTGACTCGGCGAAGATCGTGGTCCGTGAGTTCCGATGAAGTTGCTGAAGCCACGTAGCACACCGACGAATTGAACGTTCAGTGCTCGTAGCGCTATGAAGCTGAAGCCACGGGGAGTCGAGGAGTTCCTCTACTGACGCACGCTCGGAAGGCTAAAAAACATGTAAGTCAGCAAACAGTATCGTAATGAAATAAATAACATTGAGCACGTTACCTCTTTCTTCAGACACCGACCGATGAAGTCGTGAAACTCGGGGGTGAATGGCTTTCCGTTAGCATCATCCTCTGGCAAGCTAGGTTCTGGACTTTCAACTATACTCTGGACAACCTGGACGAAAAAACATCAACCATACAAATTAAGGTATGTTGTAGAAGGACCTCATAATTTTTAGTATACATGTAAAACTCACGTCGATGTAGCTCCGTGCATTCGCGTACGGGAAGGTTTGTGTCGCGCACTCGATGAGCACAAGACCAAGGCTCCAAATGTCAGACTTGTAGCTGAAATCGAAGAAACGGCGTTAGTACAATACATCCGAAAAAAATACCTTTACAACTTACTCGTAGGGTTCGTTCTGTACACGCTCCGGTGCCATGTACTTGAATGTTCCCACGAAAGTTTGTGCCATACTGGTGGACGAACTTAGTTCACGAGCAAGTCCAAAGTCCGTGAGCTTCACAGCTCCGTCCTGCTGAACGAGAATGTTTTGAGGTTTGATATCGCGATGAACATGGCGAACAAGCTGGAGGTGTGCGAGTCCAGTCAATATCTGCATAGCGATGGCAGCAATAACTCGTTCAGGTACCACATCGTCATCTTTCGGCAACTTTGCAAGCAGTTGATCTAGTGACCCCAAGGCACAGAATTCGAGTACGATACTTAACGCGTGGTCCTGGAAGTATGCGCCGTAGAACCCCACGAGATGTTCACTCTCGATACCATACAACGTACGGATCTCGGTCAGCAACTGGTCGCGTCTCGGCTTGTCGAACACGTTGGTGACCACTTTGACTGCGTACAGAGCGTTCGATTCACAGTGCCGAGCTTTGAACACTTGCCCAGAGCTGCCTCTACCGATCATACTGATGGTCACCAGTTTGTCCAGTGCCACGAGCTTTCGTGACTCCACAACGCACTCGTCAACTTCATCGTCCTCCTCCTTGTGTCCTGCTTTGTCGTCCGCAAACGTGACACCGGAGCTGTTGATCCGGAGACCCGCTTTGTACAGAGTCGTCTCCCCGATGTCACACGAAGCTTCAAACTTATCTTCATAGTCGTGTTTGTAGTCAAGATCGTGGTCTGATGCAACTACACTCAGTACTGGCCGAGTCTTCATGGTTTTGGCAGGAGTCTAAGTCGGTCAAGTCTGAAGTTTTGTACAATGAGTCGACTCTTGTCGTCCATGAAACGTTCAGAAGGATGGATACCTAAGGCTAAGTGTGTTTCCTGGTTTTCAAAAATAAAGCACAATCTCAACTCCCTACAGTCTCTACGGTCTTATCTTCGGTTCATGCAGCTCTCGTACGTCGGGATCATGTATTTGATGTTGACGAAGGCGTCTACACCGCCGTGTTTCTCGAGGATGTTGAGAGTTTCGAGGATGAGGTCGCCCAAGTTCTCTTGTCGTCGTTGAGCATAGTCGATCGAGTCACCGCAGTTCACTCGCTTGGTGATGAAGAGATTGAAGATCGACAGAAGCTGTCGATAGTACGGCACAAGCGCTTCACCGGTGTACGGACAGCTCAACACAAGTCGCTGCAACACCTTCATCTGAAGACAGAGCACTGTCTGGTTACGTGTCATGAGGTTTGCCTTCATCGGTGGGATCAACTGCGGCAAACATGGCAGCACTCGACTTCCGCCCTTCTCCAACATATCCAAAGTGCCGTTGAGCGCCAAGAAGTGATACGGCTCCTCTAACTCTCGTAGCCCCTCCATAAACACTGGTAGGTAGTGCGAGAAGTCGAGCAGGGACAGATCGACCTGCCACTGAAGCTTCCGCACGGCTCCAGCGAAATTAACCCGAACAGGAAGATCGCCGCGATTGTCTGTATATCCAACAGTAGTGAGAGAGTTAGTCTTTCATTTTTTACTATCGTGAACACGTTTACTTACAGAAATATCTGAAGCGTGTAGGCTCCACTTTTCGAGCCTTGAAGGCACCTGCAGACTGAGGGCGTACAATCGGCGCTAATGGTCCTGGTCGAGTGCAGATCGCAAGCGCTGCGTGACTTGTTGACGATGTAAGCCCCCCTGACTTTGCTGCTGTTGCAATTTTTGCCATCTGCCGCACGTGATGTACTGAGGGCGAGTGAGTGCTCCGGTTCGGTTTGGCTGACTGGATGTTCCTTGCGTTCACCCTCGCGATGGGCATAGAGGTGCTGCCGGTACTAGGCTGCAACATTCTGAGCTCCGACGCTAGCGCTGACATCGAATTAGTAGCACTTGCCGCCATCCTTCGTTGGTTCTTTTGGGGTCTTGTACCAAATGAAAAAATGACCCCCGCGGCTCATATTTTGCTAAATTAGAACACACAACATGCCTCGGTTCTTATCAGTAGTAAGATACTCGCTTGTCTCGCGTTCATGCTAAAAATGTGACTCTGATAAAGAAGCTGGTTGTTTACAGCGATATTCAGCGATGAGGAGAGTAACCAGCTTCATGGTAAATTGGGTCAGAACGAGAACACTTCAACGTAGCCGTTTGAGATGGTCGGAATGCCCGAGACGTAGCTAAAGTACTCTCAAGTGACCAAAACCTGACTACACCTTGAAGCGGAAAATGGCAACAACACTGCAACGCACTCGCAAACAAGCCCATTTCCACAGATCTGAGGTATCGATGCAGAGCGACGCAGTATGAGGATGTAAAGCTTCACTACGAGGCAAAAGCAAGCGTTTCCTAATTCAGTTTCCGTAATACGGGGGTTTACCATAACTATCCTTCCCAAATGACGACTGTCGATCAGCAACTAGCTAACTTGGTCATCCGTCAATACCGCTCTCTAGATCACGAGGAGGTGGTGCAATTGTACCTCAACGGCATGCGTTCGTACTCTTTCGAGGGTGAGGACGAGGCTAGCAAGACGCTGTGGGAGCAAGTACGTCAGGCCTCCGTGAACAGCGATCTGGCTGACATCGAGGGCGTGTATTTGACCAGCGGGGGAAACTTTTGGGTGGCAGTTGTCTCCTCTAGTGACAGAGAGGAAGAGGTAATTGCGATGGTTGGACTGCAGCTCCATAGCGGTGACTTGGGCGAGCTACGCTGCATGTCCGTCAAGGAAGGATATCGACGCGTTGGACTGGGACGAAAGCTGCTCAAGCACTTGGAAGATTGGGCCCAAACCCACGGATTAAAGCGCGTTAAGTTATCCACGGGTATGACAATGACAAGGGCAGTGCAGTTCTACATGGCTCACGGGTACACACTCACGCACACAACAATCTTTACGCCCGAGATGCCGCATGAAGAAGCTCACCTCGCCAAAGATCTCTTTGTTATGTTCTCGAAAAAACCGGTTTTGAACAGTATTGTGCACATTTGTTGTCGTCATCATTTGATGCCGCAATCATGCTTTATTGTAGGCATGTGATATGATAGGAAGCACTTCACTGCTGACGTCAGTTGTTCAACTGAGTGTTCTAATGGCAACCGTCAAGCAACCAGAGTTCTGCATTCGGCAGTACGCGCCACAGGACCAGGAAGGCGTGAACGCTGTCTTCATCGACGGCTGTGAATTCTACCGCGATAGCTTCCCGTCTCATGTGCAGGAGCACTGGACTGAGTTCATCCAAGAAGGTCTCGACGGAGATTTATCGCGCATTCTCAGCGCCTACATCGCCCCTGGCGGCAACTTTTGGGTCGTAACGACGCCAGAGAACAGCGTACACAAAGTTGTTGGCATCGTTGGTTTAGAGGATAAGGGAGATGGTGTCGGAGAGTTGCGGCGTATGGCTGTCTCCAGCGCTTTCCGTCGCCACGGACTCGGCCGGCGGCTGGTGAACGAGCTAGAGACCTGGGCCAAGGATCACGGCTTCACCAAGATCTTTCTCATGAATGGTGGCCCCAAGGAAGACGCGCGTGCCTTTTACCGCGCCATCGGATACCAGGACGTCGGCATGAAGGTGGTGTCCGTCGAACCGCACGTGGAGGTGTTCCAGCTTGCCAAGCAGCTGTGACCTCTCGCACTCATCTCGCTGCGACAGCTTGTGGCGTGGTACATGTATTGGTGTTGCAAGATCATAGGGTAGTACAGCGTTCGATTAGATAAAGTTCGTACATGTAGGAAGAGTTGACGTGACTGCAGCTGAATCGAATGAGCCTTTTATTGACGGTCATTCATCCAACACCGGTATGGTCTCTACTAACAAAATAAGTGCCGGGCAAGTACTGCTGGCGCAGAACGACCAGTCACTTTCCTTTTGACCTTCGTTTGCAGACCTCGATTACTGAAACACCAGAACGCCATGGCCCCGATCGTCTCCTCCACAATGTCTCCGAAATCGGTCCCTGACTCGGCGAAGATCGTGGTCCGTGAGTTCCGCAGCGAAGACCTGCCTCAGGTGATTCAACTCTTCAAAGATGGCATGCTCCACTATCCGAAGAGCCAGCAGGACCCGCACCTGGACGACTACATCGCCGACAGCCTGAAGATGGATCTCAGCGACATCGATGGCACTTACTTTAAACCTGGTGGCAACTTTTGGGTTGCTACGCCCCGTGATGATCCGACACTTGTGGTCGGCATGGTTGGTCTTGAGGCGAAGCCGAATAAGGAGGGCGAACTGCGACGCATGTCGGTAAAGTGCACTCATCGTCGATACGGCATCGGACGGCTACTCATTTCGACGCTAGAAAAATGGGCGTCAGATCGTCAATTCCACAAGATCTGGCTCACCACGGGTGGTGTGATGGAAAAAGCGCGGGCTTTCTATATCTCCGTGGGCTATTCGGAGACCGAGGTCATCGTAATTCACGAGGAACCTCGTTTCGAGGTGATCATGATCGAAAAGGTGCTTGCACCGGCAATCCTTGCATGAGCAATAATAATGAGTGGGCACCAGAAAATCTTTTAGTGACTGTTGTCACTCATCCAATCACACTCCTCTAATCCTCATCTCATTGTATAGATTGATGCAGTGCTTTGCTCGGTTCGTGCAAACATAGCGGATAGAATGGAGGCAATGCTTGGTATAGTCTCCTTTAACTCATCAATGGGTGCCGCACCGGCACGCTCTAAAGCAATGACACTTAGAGATTCACCTTCGACTGCACAAATCTAACCGCCTCAAACGCCATGGCTCCCACGGTCTCATCGACGACAGCAACGCCACCAGCTCCAGTTCCAGCCAACGACGCGACCAAGATTGCAATTCGTTCGTTCCGCAAGGATGACCTGCCGCAGGCGATTCAGTTATTCAAGGAAGGCATGCTCTGCTATCCTGCTCAGCGAGAGAACCCGCGTCTGCTCGAGTTCATCGAGGACAGTCTCAAGACTGACCTTAGCGACATCGAAGGCACATACATCGCTCCTGGTGGCAACTACTGGGTTGCCACACCACACGACGAACCGACACTGGTGGTTGGCATGGTTGGACTCGAAGCGAAGCCCGACAATGAAGGTGAACTGCGCCGCATGTCGGTAAAGATGAGTCACAGGCGGTATGGTGTCGGGCGTCTTTTGCTGTCGACGTTAGAACACTGGGCGGCGGAGCACCAGTTCAACAAGATCTGGCTCACCACAGGCAGTGTGATGCAGAAGGCAAGAGACTTCTACGTCTCGGCGGGCTACGTTGAGACCGACGCGTATCTCATCCGAGAAGAGCCTCCGGTATACGCGGTGGTCAAACTGGAAAAGGTGCTGACAGCGTCAGCGTAGTAAGTAGCTAGAGCAGACATTATTATTGATTCTAGCAATCCACTGACAACTTTGAAAGACATGGTCCTTCAAATGGATTTACCAGGAGACGAATAACTAGAAAGTTGAATCGACTACCTTCTCTCTCTCTCTCCTTTATAGACACACGGTGCGTAACGTTATTAATAATAATATGTGTTGCGTACTTCTCATCCGGAAGCTAACACTGGGATTAAAATAGTAAATCGGTATTTTTATTTAACTTTGTCATAACAGACACTGTGTTTTCGCTGGAGGAGGAGGAGGAGGAGGGGGTGGCGAATAGCTTTCCTTTTGGAGAGATAGAGCGTTTACATATAAGGGCGAACACCGCGACGGATCTTCCGCCTAGGAAGCCAGACACTATTAAATTCGAGCTACCACTACACCATCGAATCCTAGTCTTTGACCACTCGCCACGCGCCAAAAAATATGGGCATCCTCAACTGTGAAATCGTGATCCGTCAACACCGTACGGAAGACCTGCCTCAGTTGTGGAGGTGTTCACGGCTAGAATGTGCTCGTATGAAGCGTTCCGCGACATGCCCGAGCAGTCGAAGGTGTACCTGTAGTCTGAACAGCGACTTGAGCGACATCGGAGGTATCTACATCACCCCTGGAGGTAATTTCTGGATTGCAACACCCAAGACAAACTCACAGAAATGGCTGGCTTCGTGGGCCTTCAGCCTAAAGACAACAAGGAAGGAGAGCTGCGATGAATGTCCGTGAAAGACACATATCGACGCTTTGGTGTTGGACGGAAGCTCGTCGCAGCACTCGAGAAATGGGCTCAAGAGAACAGATTTTGGAAGGTCTGGTTGACGATGGGAGCGTCATGGACAAGGCCAGAGCGTTCTACCCCTCGGTGGGGTTTAGGCAGACAACCGTCGCCGGAGTCAGCAAATATCTCTACTTCGAGGTGTACACATTTGAGAAGGTCCTGGATGCCCCGTTGAATGCCAAAACGGTAGAGACATCAACAATACACAACACTGATGATAGAAAAGAAGCTTGAAGCTCGGCAGACATTGTTGTACGCCAGTTCCGACCGGGGGGCGGTGGCGCTCTTTGAGGACGGCATGATGCACTACCCCTGTGCACAAAATGCATGCTGAGGTAGTGCATCAACATATTACGGAGGCTTTGACAACCGGTGACCTGAGTAGCATCAATGACGTACAGCAAACCTGGAGGAAACTTTTGGGTTGCAACACCTCGATTGAAGCCGACCGAAATGGTGGGGATAGTGGGTCTCGAATCTCAGGACGCCAACGCAGGAAAGCTACGCCGCATGTCTGTGAAGGAGAACTATCGACGCCGTGGTGTTGGTCATCTGCTGATTCAGGTACTTGAAGATTGGGCCAAGAAGCATGGCTACCACAAGATTTGGCTGGGCGCAGGAACTGTGATGGAGAAGGCGCGTGCGTTCTACTCGTCTGAGGGCTACACCCAGACAAAAACTTTCGTTATCAACGAGGATCCGCATATCGAAGGAGTCGTCTCTGAAAAGACGCTGGATAACGATGCAATTCGTAAGAATACGCATATCGCTTGAGATGATAACGAATGTAATTAGTTATCCCAAAACTCATCTTTATTTCTTTGTTCACCAACTATCGACGTAACGCTAGATCCATGAAGCGCGACCAGTTCACCTTGTTCATACCTGGTTCCCAATATATAAATTACAACTTTGTATCCTAACGATCTCTGACTAACTCGCCATATCTGCCATAGCCTTGAGGTTCACGACCATGGCGTAGACGAAGAAGACGATAAAGATGATCCAGATTGCGATGCACGCGAACTTGCTGTAGCCGCCGTATACGCGCAGTTGTTGCGCGTCGAGCTTCTGACGCGGAAGGAGGAGCACCGAAAGGAGAGACATCGCGTGCACAGCGTACGCGATGAGTAGCAGCAATAGTAGTCGACCTGTTCCGTCGTCGAGACTTACCGGGGCAACATCAGCCATCCAGTCGCTGCTGAGTGTGCGCATGGCGATTGCAATTGTGCTTCGGAACGAGAGCAGCATACCTTGCGTAGCTCCCTCCGATCCATTCTCAGCGATCTCGGTAGCAGGAATTAGTGAGAAAATAGTGATGATCCCGTCCGTGAAGCCCATAATACAGTTGATCGTGTCGTAGAACGCCTGGGTACGGACCGATGGTACGTAGATCATCACGATAGCGCGGAAGGTCTCGGGGATGACCATGACAGCGATACCCAGACATACACATCGTCGCCAAGACGAGTTGGACCAGAAAACCTTCCACATGATCATAGACGCCATGGTGGTCACGTACTTGAGTGCATTGGTTATGAGCGTCGTGTTCGGATTAAGCCCCGCCATTCCGATGAAGACGGCGTTGGCCGAGCCGAAGTAGAATCGCGTGGTCGCCAACAGGATACACAGGAACAGCACAAGCTGCCACACGGCACGTTGCTGACACATCCTGAAGAAAGCTCCAATACGAGCACTGGCCGTGGACGGAGCCGTCGTGATCATGGCGACGCTGCCTTCCTCCGCCACAATCTCATTCATCAGTCCAGCTTCGGCATTGACCGTCCGTTCGGAGCAGTTGCGTAGCACGAACGGCACGGGCATGAGACTGAGTAGCGCCAACAGGGCGTATACCCAGAACGGGTCGATACGCAGCGCGTAGTTGTGCTTGCCATCCTCGTCGAAGCGAACGAGGATGGCAGTTAACCACAGTCCAATCCACTCGATGCCTGTTCGGAAGAGCAGATAGTTGATCTGCAGGGTACCGCGCGTAGTGAGCGGCTCACGTTGGGACAGTTCGATGACACGCGCGTCCGTGGCGATCTTGCTGAGCATGGTGCCGAACGTAGCGCCCATGATAAGCACCATATAGTAGATGATGTAGTTGCTAAGCTCGTCTTCCGTCGAGTCATCCACGTCCACGGTGGCGGAGAGGATCATCAGTCCCATGCACATGAGGAAGCTCAAAAGTGTACCGGTGATCATGTAGGACTTCCGACGGTATCCTCCAATCGGTACAACATCCGACAACAGACCGAGGAAGAAGCTGAGTGTCGTGGGGATACTCAGTAGGCACTCGATGACGACGGAACTCTCGGATCGCTGCAACATAAGCGAGTGCATCAATGTCGGACGCATACAATATCGTAGAACGGCATAAATAATACTGCTTTGAGCCGTAGCGAACAGCAATCCATAATACGAAGCTGAGAAGAGGCTGACTCCGCCGCCCTCGCGCAGCGCGCCAAACTGCTGGTAGTTGAAGAACTTGTTGCCTGCCACGAAGCGGTTGTTGCCCAGCATAGCCGAGGGCTCGAGACTGTCGAAGCTGCTGCGACCGTCTGGTCCGTAGGTCATGGTCATGGTGGAGTGACCGTGCTCCATGCCTCCGTAGTTTGACTCCTGCACCGAGTTGGTGTAAGCGGAAGTGACGCTATAGAAACCGCCCCCTTCCTTGTGGTTGGACGGCACGCCCATTTCTGTTGGACCTGTAAATCAGCACGCGAAAAGCTGTCGTTTGCCCGGTGAATTCCAGAGTGAGACCGAACTGAACGAGGTGCAACCGGAGGCGGTGTGCGCGGCGTAAGAGCAGGGTCATGACGAGCAGCAGTGCTGATAGAATTGATGCAGAAACTGCTGAAACCTCTGACTCTATCGTGCCTACAGTGGGACTAAAGAGTTGAGCAGCGTCCCGGCTGCGAAGCACTTAGGTCATCTGGAGCCAAGAATTACGGATACGGAACTGAGCAAATTCGAACAAAGCAAGCACACCACTTTCACTTGAACAATGTAGCGACACGACAAATACATAATATTATGTGAGATTCGAACATTATATCAACTTGGACATTGTATGGAAACGATGTTCACGACCGTGATTTGCAAGGGTCAGCGATTTTGCTCTAGAGCAGGGTCAACAGTTGACTTGTTTGACTCAGTACGGCGGAAGCGTGAGCAAAGCCCTCGTTGACTCCCACTTGAACGCACGCAGGGCTCCGAAAACGCAGCCGGTTTCGAGTGGCACATTGTCTTGTCGCGAGTTTTTGTTCGCTCGAACGGTCAATTTTAAAGTGGTTTTCCGGATAATCAACCGTATCCTGAAGCTAATTCTGCAGCTTACTTACATCTAGGTGTTTACCAAAGGTCGCAGTTTTAGTCGGACTCGGTTCAGAAACCAGCTCATGGAGTTGTGGTTCGCTACATTGACTCTTGCCACCTAGTGCAATACGCGCCATCAAACCAGAATAGCCGATCTAGCTCCGGCCTCAATGCGATTCAAGAAAGCTCCCTGAGGCACTTGTTGGCGCGGAAGAACGGTGATCAATACGGTCCACATGACGTTTGTTTGAAAGTGCAGGCGGTCCTTATCGTTTGTGCAGCAGATAAGCAACGAGGTGTTGACCTGTGAGATCCCCTACATGTAGGATGCGCGTGAAAAATAATGCCAGCCGCAGTACATGTAGCTTAATTAAAGGAAACAAGCTAAATTATTCGGCCATAATAAACAACATGTACCACCACCTGGCCATGGTCATATTCCTGATGTCGCTTCTCGTCAAGATGATAAGTTCCGTTTCTCCAGATGACGGCCATGTTCGGGTCAACATCACTGCAAGGCCGGTGCTGTAACCTACCAGATCGCTTGCAAGCACGGGATGTTCCTGTCCAGCTCCAGCTCACACGGACTTGGACAGGGTGCACGAGCAAATTGCTTTGTGGACAAGATACTTGCATTGAGCTTGCTATACTTCAAAGTGTTCCCTTTCGCGAGCCGCAGCCAGTGCTGCCAGCCTTGTGCTGGAGCATCATCGCCGGAAAGGCAATGCACAATTGCAGTTAGCGCCAGGTGCATTCGCGCGAGGACGCAACGAAAGTTTGAGCAACACCGTCCTTCACCACGACAGCAGCTCTCATATTCTATCGTACTGTACTCCCGATACTCATCAAGGCTTTCCTCAAGTCTGGGGTGAGTTGCACTACCAACAGGGATGGATGTTCGACGAGTTTCTGTCAGCTGTACTAGCTGTACACATGCAGGGATGGTCAGATCTCTCTATCGTCGATGTTGGCTCTCCACACGAACACTTGCCACCCAGCAGCAATACCATCCGGTGAATTGCATTCGGTGCTTCGCGCGAAGAAAACGTAACCGCGTGATCCGTCCACCAGCGGAATAGAGCCGCGTGTCGGCGCTGCTGCTGCATCGCAACCATGCGCTTTTCATTTTGATGCGTCGTAACGTACAGCAATGTATGTCCACCAATACGGACGATGGGACTCTCACACTACGGTGGTCGTGAACTAGCAGCGGCTGCCATCGTGCTTGACTTGTGAGATGGTCGGCATAACATCAAAAGGGTGAGCGCTCTTGCACTGCGGCTTGACGTTCTGATGCGAGCGCTTGCAGATGGAGCTGCGGCCAGCTACGGACTGCAGCCTCGTCATGTCCGTGGCGAAAACTATGTGCGAGCTTCAACGATATAACTGGCCGCTCCAACATTCGTCAGGATCGGCCTTCAACCTTGACACGCACTTCAATCAGCACTCTGTTAATGCATAATGTCCCTCTCACTTGATTGTTGTAAGTCTTTCAAAACCTATACTATGGGATTTTTCGGCTTCTGAAGAACACCAAGCGCAAGCAGGAGCTCCATCACCGACTCCATCGACTCCGCCTGCCCACGCAGCTTCTGCTCTCCTCTCTCTATATATCCCCGTTGAGTCGCCATGACGTCGATCTTCAGCGCCGGCCAGTCAATCTCGAGTATCGGCAAGTCGATGACAGCCATCGCCCGCGTGGAAGAGCACCTCGCCACTTTCATGAAGAAGGTAAGCGCCATCCTGTATGCTGCATCCACACTGCCGCCGCCTTGCAGAAGGACACAATAACCCAACGATGTGCATTGTAAATGGTGGTGTATGTGGCCTACTGACAGGTGATTTACTTCGAAAAGTTCTTCCAACGGATGGGGCCGAACTTGCCAACGTGTACGTTGCCATCGATCGACAACTTCTTTGTGCATTCACTGACAGATCGTTGCTTGTATTGCAATCGCTCAGGCGTAATGGACACAGCGACGCTGCTATTCCAGCGCTGCTACGAGTACCGAGACGAGATTCGCGACGAGTTAGAGTGAGTCGCAGATGTAGTATTGTAGAGCTTGGCACGGATAGCATCATATTCATACTCTGTATTGCTGTCTGTAGATCTAGCGTCGCGTACGTGGCGGATGCAGGTCGCTGGGTCGTAGGAATGGGCGATTGGAACAGTAAAATGGAGAAGCGGCTGAACCAGATCAGCGAGCTCGTGTTGCTGGCCAACACGCTGCTGACGGAGTACGCTGTGACGGGCCAAGTGGGCGCCGAAGGCTGTCGCGAAGATCTGGACGCCTATCTGCAGATATTATCGACAACTGTCACGTTGAAGAATGCGCCTGTGAATGGAAAAGATACTAGCACTGCAGGATCGGATGGTCGGCCCCCAGTACATGTAGTCCGAGCACAGTCGACGACAGCGGCAGAGTTCAGCTCGGAGATGTCAGCTTTGGGGACGGAGATTACAGGCGCTTTCTCCGAGATGTTTGGGAGCAAGGAGTTCGCTAGATCGACGTCATCAGGGACCATTGGACAGACGTCCAGAGCCCAAGCATCTGCACGAGCAGAGGCAGATAACGACGCCATGAACCCTTTTACGGACTCGTATCGACGCCCAGTTGACCCGTACGCCAAAGGGGTAAGCAGTGCTGGTGCTTCGGCTAGTAGTAGTGTCCAGAGTCTGCCGAATGGGACGTCGGGTGGTGGTGCAGTGCCTGAGTACCCACTGTCGGATGGAGACACACCGGAGGGTCCGTTAAGTCCTGTGAGTATGGGTGAGTACGAGTGCTTGGAGATTGACTCAATTCCGAAATATGCCGCCTTTAAATCGTCTGCTCAACTTGCCCGACTCCAGTACACAGGGAACAATAGCCTTGCTGCCAGCATGACAAGTGATGGAGGGAGAAGTGTGTACAGCGAGTCCAGTGCTGAGTACAACGAACTGTTTCCATTGCCATCATCAACTCAAGCAGTCTCGAAAAGTCTGAGCTCCCTGGATACGACGACTTCTGTGAAGAAGAAGCCTCCAGTGAAGCCAATCATGGACATGAACTACTCGTACGATTTTCAGTGCGAGGCCGCACACAATCCGTTTCTCTCGCCGAATACTCCAGGTCCCATGTCGCCTCCAGAAGTCCCGGCTCGAGTTGAGCTGCAAAATCTATCGTCACCGGCCCAGCAATCACGTCGGTCGAGTAGTGGACACGGGCCATCTTCGTCATCACCAGCGCTGACACCGCCACCGACTATAGCAAGAGCTGATACAAATATTCAAAGCACTCCCGACTTGTCCATCTCCACTGCTGCTACTTCTGCCATGCGTTCAGCTGTACGCGAACCTGTACTCCAGACTGTGGCCCCGCCGCCAACACTTCACGAAGCTATCGACTTTAACCAAGCACAACCTCAAGCTCACGCAGTGCCAATTAGTGGACAAATCGCAAGTACTCAGACTTGGAGAGATAACAGTGTGCAGAGTCACGGTGTGTCCGAAAAAGACGCTGCTGCTCAAGATTACCGCGATAGTGATAACGAGTACGATCTGTTTGGGGCGAGCAAGTCGTGAATTCGGCGAATACTCGGTCTCATTAACATAAATTGAGTGATATTCTCGTTCTTTTGAGTCGATAGCATCAGTGCTTGTCATCCTTGTGGCGTTTGTAGTGCTCAGACGAGTCAGGGAGCGAGGGAGCGACCTCAATATTAAGTCGTTGACGTAGCTCCTCAATTGGAGTTTCGAACTCCTCTTCATACATGACGCAGTGCAGCGAGTGCGCGTTCTTGGACGCGCGGTTGGCCCAGGGCACATATACCTTCATCAGAAGGCAACGTTCCTCGCTGGTGAGACGCAGCGGGCCCACAAATGCACTCAGAGCACTCACAGGCAGCTTGGAGTGCGCCATCTCGACGTACTTAAGAGCGATCTCGCCCAGCACCGTCGGGGGCACGTTGAACAGCGTGTGCCAGAAATCATGGGACTCGCGGTGACGCTGCATGACGTAGGCGAGCTCCGGGTCATCCACGAAGCGCACGAGCGAGCGTCCATCGGCGTCAAAACCATGCGAGTCCATGAACGTGGCGTAATGACGGCCAAACGACTCGGCCGGCAGCGCGCGCAGGTAGTCCATGTCGATGTTTTCATTGCGGATCACAGGCTTCTCGGCCAAGATACGCGCTCCCACAGGGTCGGCACACATGCGCGCATGGATACGACGCAACGCATCGCGACCTGTGACTTCGCCTAGAGCAGCCAACATGTCGCCGCGCTCCGGGTTCGCGAACACAGTCAGCGCTGACGTGACTGACAGGGCGAGCTTCTGCAGCGGCGTCGTCGGCATATGCGATTCATACTGCACGCGTCGCTGCGGCAAACCAGCCACGGGGTCCAAAGCCTGGCTCGAGAAAGAAGTGGCAATTGGATTCGTAGGCGGAATACGCGTGCACACCCGCGAGGTCGCACGTGTCGCCGCTGACGCCAAGCGAGAGCGCAACATCTGTGTCATAAGCGAACAACTTCAGGAATGGTATCTCCATTATTGTGCGTGCTTTTGCACTGTCTATTTTATCCAATCAGTGAACGTCACTGCTTTGGATTGGTTGAAAAGATTTAAGGAGGATGGGTTCGATCTTCGAGCCCGCTTAGGTGCGACTTTGGTCGTCCGCCGCCGCAAAAGAAGGCCGCCGTCAAGACAGCCAGGGGACGGCACCGCACACTCTGCGGCGCGAGCGGACGAGCAAGGATGGCGGACAGCAGACGCGTGTTCGTGCAGCTGGCGGGTGCGCGAGACTCGCAAATGGAGGTGGGCGCGCCGGTCATGGCGTTCGTCATGCCCACAGATTCGTGGCTTTCTGTCGTCAACGAGTTCCTCATGGTGCGATAGCTATACCTGTCGCTTATAACGCAACTATCAGCATGTGGCTTATAAGCACATGCACCAATGAGGGGATCCAATTGATTTACTTGTGCGGTGCATGTCATATCGTAGAGCTGCAATGACGACGACATGGAGGTGGAGCAGCGACCGCCGGGACTACTGGAGGGATGCGTTGTGCTGCATGCGGCGTCGCTGCAGCAGATCTCGGAGCCGGCGAGCTGTGAGGACGGCAAGCAGTATATCTTATGTATGAGCTTGGACGATGCTGTGCGGCTCCAGAAGCAGAGATTCGGGGACAGCACCGCCAGCAGCGTCACTGGTAGTAGTGACACTGACGCACTGGCTCGTGGTAGCATCGCACTGACCGACCAGCTCGAGTCACTGGAAGAACTGGACTATTACTTCGACGATAACGGTACACTACGTCACTGCCGCACGAACCAGGCTGTATACGAGCTTATGAGCGACGAGAGGCGTGCCGGCGAGCTGGACGACATCGTCAAGGCTGCAATCTTTCACATCCAGATGGAAATGCTGGCCGAGTTGGCCTTCAAACAGGCGCGTGTACCTCTTGACCCGAGGCCTGATGAGCCGAAGGAAGCTCGTTCCAGTATTTTCCTTACATCAGACTGGCGTACCAACTCTAATCTACTCGTGGTAGTTAATGGTGGACGTGGAGCGCAGCCAGGTATTTGGAGTCGAGATCTGCTGATTCAAGAAGGTTTGGAGCTGGGATCGATGCTGCCAGTGATGCGTCGAGCTACAGCTTGCAACTTTGGTGTGGCTGTGGTGAATCCCTCCACTAACAACGTTACCATCGGGAATGATACATTCCCTATTCGAGGGAATTCATCGCCAGATGAACACATGCTCTACATGTGGGATAACATCATTTCTCGTGCTCAAGCCCGCAATGTCTACTTTTTAGCGTACTCGTTCGGCGCTAAGTCGGTGGTGACGCTGATCCAAAAGCGCGAGGATCAGGTTGTCAAGCGCGTAAATGCGCTCGTGTTTGCAGAAGGCGCCTATCGCATCGACCCATCGACTACGTCTCCTGCTGTGGCCCAATTCTTAAAGCAACGTGCCATCAACTTTAAGGGCGACGCTCAGATTGCTGTGGGTAGCCATATCCCAACAGAAGAGGAGAAACTCTCATGCAGTTGTTTGTCGGTTGGAGATCTCACAGCATCTGGGCCATCAGCCGACGGTAAAGCCCCACCAACTGCGCCAGCATCAGCGTTGTCCAAGCGCAGCAGCAGCAACAAGGCCCGGACTATTAGTCTCTCGCTGGAAACAACGTTCACTTACTTCGTGGCTGCGCGTGATCGCGGTTGTAGTGCAGCGCAGTTTATCTCGGAGTCGGAAGCGAAGACACGGACGTGGCTGGGCAATGTGATTCGCCATCGTCTGGACTCGCTGAAGCCTAAAAAGCAGAGTCGTCGCCTCAGTACTGCAATGGGAGCCAATGCGAGCGAGTCGCCTCATCATCGGAAAACAGCACGTCGATCTTCGCTGGACACAGACGCGAGTTCGTCGGCAATGCGCGCCTCGATCGCTAGCAGTCGTGGCAGCAACTCGTCCAGCCATCACTCGCACGGAGTGTCTGTAAGTGATTTCGACCTGATCAAGGTGATCGGCAAGGGATCAATTGGCAAGGTTTTCCTTGTTCGTAAGAAAGACACACACGTCGTTTACGCCATGAAGGTGTTGCGCAAGAAGAACGTGGTTCGTCACGGCTTGGAAGAGCATATCAAGACGGAGCGACTGATTCTTGAAGAGATCGACCACCCATTTATTGCGAGGCTGCGCTTCTCGTTCCAGACAAAGGATAAACTGTATCTCGTGACCGACTATTGCTCTGGTGGCGAGCTGTTCCATCATATGTCGGACGATGGTTTCTCGTACGAATTGTCTCGATTCTACGCGGCTGAACTTGTGCTGGGACTGGAACATCTTCACCGTCTGAAAGTAGCCTATCGCGATCTCAAGCCAGAGAATATCCTCGTTGAAGCGTCTGGTCATCTACGTATTACAGATTTTGGATTGTCAAAGTTGAACGTGGTGTCGGACAAAGGCGCGCAGACGCTGGTGGGTAGTCCCGAGTATCTCGCGCCCGAAGTGTACAACATGCAGAAATATGGCTACGCTGTGGATTGGTGGTCGCTTGGAGTCTTTATCTACGAAATGCTGACTGGCGTGCACCCATTTTTTGACGATAATCGCGAGGTTATGGTGAAGAAGATCATGACTCCTGGCTCTGTGAGCACGATGATGCCGCCCGAGATGCCTCCCGAGGCCGCGTCGTTGATTTGTGGTCTGCTCACGTTTAATCCGACTGAGCGATTGGGTTCGCGTGGCGCTCAAGAACTGCGTGATCACCCGTTTTTTGCAGATATTTCCTGGGACGGACTGATGCGACGCGAGGTGATACCGCCATGGCATCCAGTGGTGCAGGACGAGCTGGACGTGGGCAACTTTGACTCCGAGTTCACGTCGGAGCCAGTGGTCGATAGTGTGTGCACACACCAGTCAATGGTGCTGAGCTCCACATTCGCTGACTTTACATTCAACCCCAGCATTTCGGATTCCATGCGCAAGCGATAAAAAGCTTAGAATTAAGACCGTCAATTGCGTTTTGCTTGCATCCTTGACCCCTTCTCGACCCACGAAAAAAGAATAAATTGATGTGTACGTGCGTGCAATGATAATAATAAAAAAATCTTAGTCGTGCGTTTTCAGACTGTCCATCGAGTGGATTGGGAAACACGGTGCTTATAACAGGAAGGAGATTGAGACAGATAACGGAGAGCAACGTAATGAGACTGTCAAAAAGCACTCAGGCAGCTCTCGCTCTGGGCGCCATTATTGCAGCGGCATTCCTCAGCTCCGTTGGTCGTCTCCGACGCTACCATTAACCACATTAACGCGGCAGATGTTCTGGGTCGGAGTACGCCTGTAACGGGTATGGTAACGTTGAAGTAATTTGGCCAATCACAAGACGCGAATGGACAACTTCAAGCAACAGGATAACGGACGAAAGCTGCACCCAGTCATTAGGCTTTGGCCAATAGTGCCAGCAACATTCGGACACGACTGCTGACGCTCTCTTTTCGGTGGAGAGGTCGAGTCGCGGCAGCGATAAAGGGCTTCCCTACCGCTTCGGAGCCTGCCACGGCGTTGCTGAAAGTGAGAATGATGCCATCGTTGTTGGATTTGCGTGAGCGCGCAATGTTTATATCGTGAAGCTTAGCGTGGCATGCACGATCTTCATTTCAATATTTCCAACGAAGTCGTCAGCGCAGTCCTGAATCCAGCACCCTTTCACCTCGATAATGGAAAGACCCGCTGGCGAATAAGCCGCCATGATATATTACCGCGATAAAACATCATTGCAGCCAACCCACCGATAGAAAAAAAAAAATCCCACAAATACATTCATCGACGGTCTCTAGCGATTATCGGTAAAAACAACCACACTTTTTTTTTCTACTTCGAAGTTCCAAGCACCAGCGCTAACTGCTAATAGTGCACATGTACTTCGAAGCTAGTATTGTCAATGATTCATAGAGCCTCTAGTAACACGGAGAAAAACTCTGATTGTATGCAAATGCCATTTAAAAACAAGTGTAACCTCTGCAAAATGCCAGCACGCGATTTCAGGCAGTTGTATCAAGTTAAAACCTCTCTCGCTATTAGTGGTTTCGAAACGGCCTTCAACGCACTCGCCATTCTTCTTCTCCCAAGAAGGCAACCCAACGGGTTTGACAGCGAACAGTGCCTAATATATACCTTTTCGCGCCGTCAAATCAACATCGCTTTGCGAGACGGCCTGGAAGAGGGAGCAGCACAACAACTTAGCCATTGCTGCCGCCGTGCAACGTTCTCAACCACTCAAGCCCACCGCACAAGGTACCGCGCCCTTTCACTGCAGTGGTATCATTAAGATCACGCTGCTCTCGTTCCAGAAATCTTATTCAGATTTTCATGCGCAGGCCTGAGCCTGTTGCAGTTCACAATCCGAGTGAACAAGTCCCACCAACACGATCCAAAAGACCTGGAGACCTTCATCATTGACCATGCTCAACATCGAGCTGCCTGAACACGAGACCGTCAAGGCCGATAGCGGGTCTCCATCGTCTCCGTCCCATACCCCACAAGCCGATGGAGACCAGGACTTCACCGCGTTTCTGGAGATCGGATCGCCCTACGGCTTCAAGCACGACGTGCACATCCACTACAACTTCCAGGAAGCAAGATTCGAGGGGATCCCGGACAACTTTGCCGACTATTTGGTCTCCGGAGCCTCGGAACGAGGTCGTGCAGACACTATCTGCTCCATGGACACGTCGGTGTCCCAAGACTTGAAGGGCATTCGTCGGTCCAAGCGGACACGTACAAGCTCTGCCCCTATCGGTCGTATGAGCTTGTCCAGTATGATCGCGAGTATGGACCCGATCAACAGCAACGACCCCGTGCGGATAATGAACCAGCACTTCAAACTACCATTCCGACAAGTTCCACGGGTGGCTGTTCCTGGGTACGAGGAGAGAGTCCCCGCCGTGCTGGTCATGCTGCAACAGCACTTCGTTGCTAAACGAGGGTACATGACTCCTCACATCTTTCGTGAGTCACCCAGTAAGGACGAACGAGATCAAGCTATGCTCGATATCAACTGCGGAGCTTTCCGAGGAGGGAAGCACGACGTTCGGGTGCTGGCCGACCTCATCAAGCTCTGGTTCCGTGAACTACCAGTGCCTATTTTGCATGAAATACCTGCAGGCGAGATGGAACGCTTAGCGTCGGCTGAGAATGTTGAAGTCGAAGTGTTGAGCCTCTTAGGAGATCTGGAGTGCAGCATCGTGCTGTGGTTAGCAGACTTGCTGGCGTATGTAGCCGAATATCAACCGCACAACCACATGGGTGTAGATCAACTAGCCATTGTCATCGCACCAAACCTCGTGCGTCTTGAGACGGAGAACCCCATGGTTGCTGTAGCGCTCTCCAAAGCCGCCGTCGATCTCTTCCGAAGTGTCCTACGAGCTCGATTCCAGCGTCGTCTAGAGTTGAAGGCCACTAGAGTCATCGAGGACGAGGACTAAGACGACCAAGTCGACTCCCATGTCTATGATCCTCAAGCGAATCCTGATAGCTTACATCTATGTATTAGCTCAAGCGAGCAAAGTAGCGACTGCATGTAGCCGATGATCATAATCTAGTGTGAAATTTGTCTTTGAGTTTTGGCAAGTATTTCGTTATCCCAGGTCATATCGGAAGAAAACAGCACAAGAATGTGTGAAAAATGGCGGATAACTATGCTACTACTTACAAGCTAGACTGCCAGGTAAGGGGGGTACTATATCTCTATCTATCCGAGCGCTAGTACAGATAGGGCTGTAATTTCTCGATTCGGATCTCGTCCTGGCAAAGGCTCTCTTCCAGTGCTGTCATGGCGTTGAGAAAATACGCGCGGTCCTCTAGAAACTTGGCACGCGAACGCCGACCCATTCGTTTACGCTCCTCTATGGAGAGCAGCAGAATTTGTTCTACGCCCCGCTCGATGTCGGCTACGTCCACTTGTGCTAGTGGCATAAATAAGTCTCCTTTTGTTTGCCACCACCACGGATGCGGCTCTCCTACCAGCACGCCGCTCTTCTCGTCCACTAGCTCGTTCATGGGTGGTACGTTCGTTGTCAGGATTAATGCGCCAACACTGCGAGCCTCGTTAATATAGTGGCCGAACCCTTCGGTCTCGCTAGGACACAAGTGAAGTCCAATCTGGTTCTGCAATCGGTCCTTCTCTTCAGCAGGCACCGAACCACAAGCATAGTCCACATTTTGGAGTCTCCACGAGTCCTTATCACCGAATTGTTCCTCAATCCACTGGCACAAGTCGGCCTTAATCACACGGATGATCAGTTGCGGCCATTCTGGATGCAACGCCCACGCCTGTAGGATCACACGCGTGTTCTTGAACGGGCTCCAACCGGCCAAATGCAAAAATGACGTCCAGTCACGCTGTACCGCAGGCTGATACAAATCGCGACTCGTGTGTTTTGTGTAGAAGACTGAATACGAGAGTTGATGCCGATGTCTGTACTCGAGCACTTTCTTAAGCCCGATGCGGTTCTTAACCATCATGACGCCCACCGTGGGGTTGTCCAGCTCGTGTCTGTCGAAGAACTCGACGTTCTGCATCATCCAAATGCTTTTCTCTTTAGGCGCGTGAAAGTCTGGATAATATTTCTTGTCCACGGGATGTCGCTCCAGATAAATGTCAATGACCGACGGGGGCATATCCAGACGCTTGGCCTTCCCGTCGTCACTGTAACTCGAACTTTCCTGTTCACCATTGCCTCTGTACGAATACACGGGCCGCGCTGAGGGCAACGCGTTCAAATACAACTCAAAGTCCAGTAAAACTCCAGGTGAATCGCTAGGTGTCACAACGTTGATGCAGTACGCGGACTTGGAGATGATCGCCTCGTGACCTTGACCTCTTGTCTGTAGGAAGAAGCCAGCGGGTAGGTTCATCTGACGCTCCCGTTCCATTTCCTCTTCTTTTTCAGCCAATTGCTGCGCTTTCAGAGCCTGATTTTCAGCCAGCGTCTCGGCCTGGAACGTCTCGCCTTCTCCTCCTAATGGATTGCGATATCCCTCGTCCTTTGCGGCGTCCTGCTTGCTTCTGATAGTTTGTTTGGGATCTTGAGCCAGTTCATTACGCCGTCTCTCCTCCTCCTTCTGCTGAAGCGCCAATTCGCGTGGAGACACGTATAATGATTGGAACAGCAGCTTCATGGGCGGCGCCAGCTCGGCGCTTGTGGGTGTGGGAGCTAGCAGTGAACGCGAGGCTAGTGTGGCGTTGCAGAACTCTGTGTGTAGCTGGATCTGTGGCAATAGAGCGAAGAAGACTAGCTGCAACAGACTGCCGATCAGCACCAGCAGGAACACGCAGGAGCGCAGCAGGAAGCGCGGTCCCGACGACTCGCTCATGCTCCGCGGGAAGACTGAGAGGAGCCGTTATGCTCAATAGTTTCAAGGGGAATACTCGTGTGCACCACATCATTATGACGTGGTCCACAACATGACTGATTATTCCTTTGTTTTTCTGATTCCACGCTTTAGGTCCGACGAATGGGGCGACGTGGCTTCTTGCTGCTGCTCTTGACGCTGCTGAGCTGCGTGCAGGCTACGCAGAACGGACCCATGCCACCACCGGCACGGACACATTGCCGCGTGTTCATAGTGGCGGCCTCAACGCACACGCGCGTGCTGGTCCTGCAGAACGCTTACGAGCAGGACGGTATCAACGTCTACGACCAGTTTCCTGCGTTATCATCCGTCCTGCAGGATACAGACACACAGGACGAGATAAAACGCGCGGACGAGGCGTATCAGATCCTACAACCGGCGTTTGACCAGGCCGTCGAGTGGCTCAAGGATCGGGTGGATCCAGCGCTATGCTTCGCACATTTCGTCGTAGTTGAATCAGAGATTTCGTCTGGTTCCAAGACTCAGGACGCCGCGTCACTCGTGACCAGGCGCCTTGACCATTTACGGACTCGTGCCAGACGTGACAGCCACTTCCCCTTTGCGCTCAATGCGGAGCATCAAGGTAATAAGGAGAGTTTCGTGTCAAACGGAGACTTGCGAGTCGTGCCGGCCACTTGGCGTCGCTATTTCCATATAGTGGGGACCAATTATTTCTCTGGAAAAGTGGCACCGTCGCTCAGTCCTGGGCAAGTTGAAGTCTTCGGACTGCTGCACGTGGACGCTGGAGGAAAAGCTGGCAAATTGATATCTGAGTCGGATTCAGATGCTGCTGAAATGGTATTCGACATTCGAGAGCGATGGAGACGCAGCAAACGACAGCGACAGGTGAATGTGGCACTTAACATTAGTGATTTCTACGGACGTGAATATTCAGGCTTTGGACGGCGTGCAGTGCAGCAGGCTGTGATCCAACTGAAGCAGGAGAAGGACAAGAAGGCCGCATCGAGCGCTCTACAACATCCATGCTTTTTTAGAGAACATTATTCCGTTGTTGAGGGCGTAAATATGACGTTGCAAGGCACGGGAAACGCCGACAAATGCATGGAGCTTCTCCGGTCACATGTGAGGTCTAGTAACGCGAAGTGCCCGCCAGAAAACTTTTGTTTTTTGGGTAGCGCCCCGCAGCCACAGGGTGTTGGAACTTTCTACGCGTCAGGAGTACTGAGAGAAGCGGTGTTCAGTGCAAGTCGAGTGCTGGAATACGCAAGTGACAAGCTCGAGGAAAAGGAAGTGGACCAACTACAACTCCCAAGCCCGACTCTTCTGGCACTGCGGAACGCTGCAACGAGTTTGTGTACACTTCCGTACAAGGAGACAGTCGCTGGCGCTGCGCTGTCACATCCCGTGACAAACGATACCACAGCACTCGATGCGTTATGCTTCGACTTGTGCTACACAATTGTGCTGCTCGAGCAGATGGGCGTTCAGGACGCCGATGAACGTATTCATTTTGTGGATCGCTTTGAGAAACAGCCAGTACTATCAGGACATGGATCGATAGCGAATGGAGACCATGACGGACCATCTGAGCTGGTGGCTTGGCTCACAGGCGCATTCTTGTACTTGGAGGCGCTTCAACGCAAGGTCACCTTTTCTATAGAGTCGGAATTGTTGGCGGAACAGCTCAGCGCAGGACTACCTCTCGGCTGGAATATGAGTCTGGTGGTCTTCGTGGCAGCATGCGTCTACTTGTATCTTACGGCTGGTAGCGCAGTTGTCAAGGGGAGAGCTGGTCGACGTTCCGGCAGCTACCACCGCGTTGTGAATGGGGGAGCCAAGGCAAAGTATAAGGACACGACGCAGTCCATATTGTTTGTTGACGACGCTCGAGAGTAGTGTGCTTCCAGCTTATCAAGCGCTTGCACTTTCGCAATAGCCGAAGTACGGATCGAATTGCCCTGGCGCTTTGTAGCAGTAATATATTGAACGCTGACCTCAAATATTGTATTGTATTGCGAACGCGTTTCGCGTGCTGTCTAGCCACCGAAGTGGTTCAACTTCCGCATGCGTCGGGTTATCTCTTATGTTTTCTACTATTCCTCTCTTCTCTCGGTCAGAGTCCGGTTGTCGGAGCGTGAACCAGTAGTCCGTCGGTTAGTTTTTCCAACCTTTTCTGTCGTACGCGCACAAGCGGAGAAGGTAGAGGTCGGGGGCTCGCTGAAGTCTGTAGCCTGAGGAAAGAGTCTGGAGGTCAGCATCGAGAACCAGAGGGAGGGTCAGTCGCCGTCTGCCACGCCATGAGCCTTTGTCGCTGGGCAAGAAGTATGCTTCCATGAAGCGGTTTGCTGGGATGTCCGTCGGTCGGCCAAGAATGTGTCCGAAGAGTCTCCAGCGATTGCAAAGCAGGACGGCTTGGTCCCAGTCCAGTCGTAGAGCTTTTCGTTGGAGATCCAGTTGGGATATCGGACACCGATGAGTTGCCTGAGCTGCTTGCGGTGAAAGCTTTCGAGACCGACAAGGTCTGTTTGAGGGAGTGCCCAGGTCCCGCTGTTGACCTCAAATAGGGCGAGTAATAACTGCTGTTGCCTTATTTTCCGCAAGAGACAAACAACAAGCGATCGAAAAGATATTGACTTATCTATTGCACTTCTGGATTCGTCAACTATTGTGAAAGGAGATGGTTTTCGAGTACAAGAAGCTGAATCCCGAGTACAGACAAATTATCAAAAATAAAATAAAATGACCGGATGAAAAACGAATACTTACTGGTAAAACCGGCTAGACACCGAGTACACATCTAGAACAGCTGCAAAAACTTCAAGACCTGAGGTCAGCGCCTCTGCGACTTCAGCGGCATGGAGCTCATAACGCTACGGACTTTGCGCGCCAAATAATCTCACCCTGCAGCACAGGAAGCATTGCTGGTTTTCCCACCACCACTTCACCAAACTCCGGTACGTACGCCGGTGCACCGACGCTTTTATCTTCTAGCCTGCATATTATTACAGCTCTAAGTTATCGTATTGACTTGACACGCAGGAAATGACACGTAGCTCTCCGATTTCTCGTCACCCTGTGTTCTCTGTACTTTCAAGCCATGAGATGAAGTCTGCTGCGCTGACCGCAATGGAACTTTTCGACGCTCATCGCTACGTCCATAGCCATAACGACGGCAAGCGGGGGCGGTCTGTGACGTACAAGTGTGCTGAACATGACAATTGTGGACGAATCTTTCGCATACGAGCTGTGAGGATAACAGAGTTGAAGACATTACCTTTTGTGTTGGAGGCAAAAGGATCGCATTCTG